CTGGCACAAGGGCCCAGCAGGCTGCCGGGCTACGCCACCCACCAGGTGGGAGTCGCAGGTGAGTTACAAAAGCAGTTGCGCCCACAGAAAACCTTTCCAACCCGCCTTTAGGGCCGGGTTCAGTCGGAAACTGACTGTTCCTCGGCACAGCTGGCACGTGGAAACCAGCTGCTCGCTCGTCACATAACTGTGCCCAAAGTCTCACTCGTGACGGTGCATCCGCAACTTCTTCAGAAAAGGCCAATAAAGAGAGAGGTTTCTCAAAACTACCCCAGTTTGAGAAAACTGTAAATAGTTTGGGGAGAAGAAAACATGGTCCTAAAGCTTGAAAATTTTAACTCGCTGTTTTTAAACACCATTTTGAGAAACGTATCTGGGCTCTCACCTTGCAAGTAAGGGAGGTGGAATTTCAAAGTTGAAGCGGTTTTTTAAACATGAAGAAGTAACTACAAACTTCTGAGGAAAATAATATTTCTCCGTGCACACTCCTTACTGTAGATGCTAAATATATGCATCTGCCTAAACCATGTTCATACTGAGGTCTGTAAGCGGGATGAACTGGATCCAACATGGATTGTTGAGCAGCTAACACTACCGTTAGCCTACATTACAGGGGTCTAAAAGCTGTACCTACAACTCCACAACCCAAACAAGGATATTTCAGAAACAAACATTGGGACACCATACTCGTACCAGTCTAGATCTCCCCCAGCCAGAGCTGGGAAGGAGTTGCTCTAAAAACTGGAAATTTCCAAGAAACTAGGTAAGACAGTTTGCCTACTTTTTTAAACACAATACAAGGTAGAAATACCGTCAACTTGAATTCGGCTTCACCAAATTTGGATGGTTTTGCCCTCTCAGCACCCTTCCATAGATCTGCAATGACCTGTCCCATCACTCAGTTACCTCCTGTAATCTGGAGGCTGGTTTGGACCCCTCCGGTACTGGCAAAGGCCACCTGACACTGAGCTGTTACAGCACAGGGGCCGCAAATCTGTGGCAAGCTTGTTCGTCCTTGGCTTCCAGGGGCCATGTGGGATGTTAATGCTTCACCAAGTGGTGGTAAAACTCTTAAGTAGCAAGTAGAAAAAATCTAGGTAGGAAGGACTCGTAAAAGGTGGATTATTCTATGTAGCAGCAGGTCAAGTGAAAAGTAAAATTAATTCTGGAAAAAACAAATCCTTCAATTAGAAAACAGTGCTGCTGCTAACAGTGTTGGGACTTTTCAGTTCCAAAGCCAGCAGAGGGCAGGGCAGAAGCTGAAGACGGGCTTGGATTTTGTCAATGGACATGTTAGAGCATGTTTTCCTGAGGTATGAAAAATCTCACTGTTAAAATATGTGGCATTAAACTCGAGTAAGATAATGCATTCCCCTAGCAGAAGCACCAGAAGTGTTACTCCTTATGGTTTTAACTTGCATGCTTGAGGAAACATGACTAACAGAAAGGGGATTTTTCTGAAGTAGGTTTTGCATAGCTCAAAGCGCTATTTAAAACAAAGTCACGTAATAGATGTGTTGTGGCCCCGATGATTAGCAGGAAGGACTTGGTATAAAAAAAAATCGTAACTCTTAAAAACTCTCAAGTAAACAGATCTGTGTGTGTGAAGCAATGACTGCAGGTTTTTGTCTTCTGCTCCATGTTCAGTGGGTCTGCAGCACATGCTAAGAACACACTAAGCAATGTGGGTAGCACCTGGCATATGATTATTCCATTATCCTTCTCCTTCAGGAGGGAGACTCTGGGTAGTAGAACAGCTTTATCCTATTTTTTATTTAATTTTACTCAAATATGAAATTATTAAATGTGTGCATTTATAGGGCATGCATGCCAAACGCTAGGCATTTTTATTTCCCAAACAAACAAAAAAAAAGTATTTGCAATAAAGCAAATTTCCTGATGAGAGTCTTGATCTCAAAGCCGTGGCCGGTCTATCACAGCATTCACCCCCTCGAGCATCCTGAAAATACAAAGCGGAGGCGTCGGGGGTGGTTTGTCGGCCTGCAGGAAGGCAGCACAGGGAGAGGAACACAGGTTGAGAGCCCACGGTGCTCAGTAGAGCAGCAGCTGGTTTTCGTCCTGTCCAGGGTTTCCCCTCTCCGGTGACTGCTGCGTGGCCAGGCCTCACTATCATCCGAGCGATGACAAAGGTGTGAATAAGTGAAGCCAGGTTGTATTTTGCCAGACTCGAGCGGAGCCGCCAAGCAAAGAGTAGCAAACGTTACTCATTGGGCTTGGCTGTGATTGTTTAGAAATAGTGGAATATGTGATGTGTCTTCCGACTCAGTTAACTGCATCCGTTCGTAGGCGGCAGGATTTTCCAGGTCTGTAAAAGGGACAGACAAAAGCTTCTGGCACATGAAATGATTAACGTGGGGTTTTGAAAAGTGTTTCCAAAAGCCTCCACCTCCCAGGAGGAAGTGGTCTGCCATCCAGAAAGTGATGTGTTAGTAAATATGCCACGTAACAAGGGCAGAGCAAGAAAAGTTGAGGAAGGAAAGTAAAAGGAGAGGAAGGAAAGTCCAAGTCATTCCCTTCCGCCTCCCATGTAGTATAAGCCTTACAACTTGGCTGGGATTTTCACTGCCACCTACTTTGTAGTTGAAACAAAGTCATTGGAACTGAAGGGAGAGAAGGGTCTCCACACACACATACGCACACGGTTCTGTTACAAAAAGAAACGTGTAAAACGGGCAGTGGCATAAATGTCTGACTGCTCGGGAAGATGGAGTTAGCCAGGTTAGGGCAATCCAAGGAATCCAAAGTGATCTAAAAGCAGTTTCCAAGTTGTTGTACAAAGGAATACCAGTTTCTGGCTGCTGGGGCTCACAACACAACCAGTCCTGTGCGCTCCTTTGTGACGCCAAACATCTTCTCATACATGTTTACATCAGTCCTAAATAAAGCAGGTAGAGTGAAAATATTTTTCCTCGTCGTTACTCATTGTCTGGAGTCATCTAAGGGATTTATTTTTTTTTTTTTACCTATTTCCTAAAAGAGAACATTCAGAACACAGCAGTGTTATAACTTGGTTAGGTTACAAGTGTAAACCTTTCTATAAAGTCATCCTGGCACTGGATGGTCTAAAAAGCTCCAGGTACCGCAGCTGCAGCAGGAGGGAGAGTTTTTAAAAGCAGAGCCCTGTGCCTGCCGCCCGGCTCCCAGCTCGCTGGCGCTCACCAGGCATGGCCCTGCAACCTTGGGCAGAGGGACTCCTGAGTTACGCTTGAGAAAGCAGGACCAGACAGCAAATCCAGGAAAGAGTTTTTCCTTCCTTTGTGCTTTGGATTTAGGTATCATCTAGCAGAGATTCTGGGCATCTTGCAGAGTATTTCACTGCCAAAAATCATGTTCACAGGCACTGAATTTGGGGAATGGAGGAGAAAAAAAACATTCTGATTGAAACTGCAGCTTCCTGTCTTGCAGGAGTCCTCCCTGGTCTCAGCAAACTATTTGGCTGAAGAATGGCTTTTCTAGAAAATAATCCTTGTAATCACAGCGTGCATCAACGTTGCTCCTGCTCTCCTTTCGTTCCGTCTTTTAACCAGTACAGTATTTGAACCTGGACACTGCTGAATATTTCCAGGGGGGATGAAATCATAAAGTCAGAAGCCACGGGGAGGCAGACCCATGACTAGCCTCTCAAAGCATGTCCTTTGACATATTGTGAAGGAAGATGCGTATTTCATCTTTTAAATATTCCTCCTACACATAAGTCTGCCATGTATTATTAAAAATCAGGATGTTTTGAGCTGGACACTCATTCCTTAATAACTCCCTTCTGTGGAAATACTTTCCCATAGCATTTTAAATGCATATATCATCACAGATCTGTCCGTATACTCTTCCTCCGTCTCTAAAACGACGTAAGTAGTTTCTTTTATTGTTAACTACTAATTTGAAACCCATGCATGACTGATGTGGGAAAGAACCTGGTCAGCTGCACCACAGTCCTCATTCTGCTCACCGCAGCACACTTGAGAAATCTGAGAAAAATACCTCTTTTAAAGGGAACACATTTTTAAAATATGAGCAACAAGCGTGACACGATGATTAAACATGAAAACACTCGGGTTTTTAAAAGCAGGAAAACCTGTAATCTGCTGGGGAAAGTTATGGGCTGAGCATGAGGACACAAGGAAAAGCTGAACTTCCCAGTCATACATCCTGACTTTTTTTTTTTTTTAATCAAGTGAAAGTGTCACTCTTCCACTTGGAAGGAATGGTTTTTGATTAACAAGTTGACAACTGCACAGTTCCTACCATGAGCTGTTAGCCGAGCAGTGCAGTACAAGCTCAAACACAGTCGACTGGTTGAACACTGTCAGTACAGTCAGCCCACTGAGTATTACACCTCAGGTATTATTAACCAGAAAACGCTCGAATTTTTACTACGGCAGGAGAAAAGTACTTGCCATCACAGTTACCCAGCTGTGAGCAAGATCACAGGCGAGTCTCTGCTGAAGCAAGCAGCTTCATTAGATGATTTGGATCCATCTCAACCTTGCATTCTTTAGTTCTCATAACATAAACATGAGCGAATTATTCTTTTAATTTCTTGCCTAATCTAGAATTTAAATGTGGGAAGTATTCATCTCAGTACTGATAACTTTGATTTTTTTTTTCTACAGGATACTTGACCTTTTTTAGTATTAACAGCATTGCACCAACAAACCACTTTTTGCTATTGATTCATACAAATATTGCTAATTGCAAACTGAGTATCATTAGAGGTTTATCATGCTTTATCAAAACATGTTAAAATATGGCTGTTAAAGCTGAATGTATCTGTCTTAATCTCAATCAGTGTTTTCTCTCTACTAGGTGCCGTTCTAGATGAAAGCACTGGAAAGGTGTTGGTCGTACAAGACAGAAATAAGGTAAATTCATTATAGGATTATAAAATAGGTAAATTCATTCAGACAAGCCTGTTCTGTAGGATAAAACAAAAATACTTTTTTCCTAGTTCAAAATAGTGACAGTTAAAAGTTACACCCTTTTACAAGTGTCTTGGAACACATTTAGCAAGACATTGCTATATTGTATTTGAAGGGGGAAAAAAACAAAAAAGCTTTGCATATCAGCAGCGTTGTTGTTAATTTTTAACTGATGATTCAGGCAGCAGAGCTAAGTCCAGCACACAACACACATCGACTCCAAAAGTGGTTCCAGTTCTAGAGGATCTCCAGGAACAGAATGGCACCTTTATTTTTCTTTATATGCACAGAAATGATAAAACAGCATGCTTACCTTTTAATAAATACCTTAAGCAAGTCTTAAATCTTCAAAATAGGAACTGCACATCCTGCATATTCAGAAGGAAATAGCCGTTTCCTAGGCCCAGAAGGCTTAAGGTTCAACTTCCTCACCCCGTGGTTGTGTTAAAACTCTCCCACAGCCGTTTCAGGTGCAGATCTCTCTGTCGAAGATTCCTCTGTTCAGGTTCTGGGTCCAATCTCACGCTCTCCCGGCATCGCCTCCTTGGCCTCTGGCCCCAGAACACAAAGACGAGGCCAGCCCCGCTCTTCTCTCCACCTTGTTCCAAAAAGCGGGATGGAGATATTCCAGCTTGACTGGTTCAGCTTACCTTTCCAGAATAAAGCTGACTGCACAGTGAGGAAGCTGAAAGGGAAAAAGTGGTTGCTCCTGACCCCCCCTCTTTACAGCTCTCTTTTATTGACTGGATAAAATTAAATATAAAAACTGAAATGAATATCCGTTTATTACGCTGTGAGCAAATAAAGTATCTCAGGGCAAGCAAATCAGCTCAGATTGACAAGTTCCCCAGTGTCAATTCCACCACTCCTCTCCTCCTTTCCCCACAAAATGAACGATTTCCATGAAATTGTGACTTTTTACACAAATGATGTCCTGAAAGCTTAAATAAAATATTTAAATAGGTAATGAAATTTTAAGAGCTGTTTGGGTTTAATCATGAAAGGACAATTCCACAGCACACAAAGAAAGATTTCCAGGAACTGAAAGCAAAGCTGAAAGACAGTGACAAATATATGTATTTTCCATCTGCACTGTTTTTAAATTCCCATCCAAACCCTTTAAGAGTGCCCAGAAAAAAAGCACTGGAAAGCACACAACTTCCCTCTCTATGCTGCATGTACAAGAAAAGCTACCTTTTTTTCTTCTGCCAGGGCACCTTTTTCCTGCATTAATTTCTACTTGAAAGTCAGCTTCTTATGTAAACTTTTACTAAGGGAAGAAATAAAAAAATAGTGCGTAGATGTAAATGTAAAGCCTAGAAATCTTTGTGCATTTGCAAGAGGCGTAGGAACTGGGCCTCATTTACCAGTGTCAGTAACAGCACCAAGTCTGCACTTCGCTTTGCCGGTTTAAGTACTGAACTTTATTGCAATTCAATAAATGCTTCTTATATATAAATCACACATAAGGCCTCAGTTTTTGTATTCCATGAAAACAAACAAGGAGTTACGCTTAACGGTTATTACAGACACACAAAGTCATCTCAAAGCCAGTGCAGTATAGAACAGTACTACAATCATAGTATCTGTTTGTGAGATTAAATATATATACTTTTTTTTAAAAAAAGCCGAAACCATGAAAGTGGAATACATTAGTGATTAAATATGATTATATAGTCTATAGCAGCCTTTTTTTGTAATATGAACTACTCTAGTAATCTAGCAGCAACATGGTCTTATGACTGTAGACAGTTTGTATTTGCAATCAGTAGACGTTTTGTTCCATTATTTCATATAGACTGTAGATACCTCTGATCATCACACTAGCAAGAACAAAACAAGTTCCTGCTTAAAGCCTTACTGATGTTTGTAAGAGTCATTCCAACACTGCAACTTGAATAAAAAAACCCTCACTTGTTAATTGTCTCCTTCATATTAGAGAGTAAAACACAGGCTGCATACTTCATTAATATTGTTTTCTTCCGATACAGACTACCAACGCGTGGAAATTTCCAGGAGGTCTGTCTAACCCAGGAGAAGACATTGGTAAGTCCTAGAATAACAGCTCAGAAGGCAATAGAATTATAAAGACGTTAACGTTACTGAAATACATCTTGACCCACAGCCCTCCTATGGCTAATCACTTCTTGAGTTAATGGTGAACAGAGGAGGAGGAACTTGGTCCTTTCACCTTAATGATAACACTGTACTCAGGGCAGAGAAGTTCTGTATTTAAAACACTGATGCTTCTACAGTTTCTCTTCTGCTTCAAGACAGCTTACTTTTCGTAGGCTTCTTGGGTACGCTGTAATATGAGCCAAAAGCGCAGGGGATTAAGGTAATCAGTGCAGAACCCAAATGAAGCCAAAACAGCAAGCTCAGGGCTCGCAATGGAATCCAGGGCAGTGAGCGAAATGATGTACTGAGCAAAACTTTCCAACTCGCCATTTTTCTGTGCAGAAGAGAAACAAATACGCTTGCTTCCTTCCTTCTACCCTTGTTCTCTCAATTTGTTTAGACTAAGAGCTCTCTGGCACAGACACCAAGAGTTTCAGTGCAGCGCCTCGGTCTTCTGGGCACCTACTTTCAACCAGAGGCATGAGGCACTTGTGTATTAAAAAACAATGCTGGTGTGAGAAAGCCTGTCATTTCTATCCAGCAGAGCCCAGGTGATGAGCAACACTGCTGCCGTGTTCAGAGGTAGACAAACAAGGGTGTTTATGAAGAGAGAGAAAATTGTGCTGCTTCTCCTTCTGCCCCTTAAAATTATGATCCATAGGTGGGCTGAGTTGTAAGTTACTGCAGTTGTTAGGTGGGTCTTGTTTTCAGAAGTTACATTTCCTCATGGTCATTTAGCCCCACATCAGTATTCAGACAGGAATATATTCTCCCAATAACTCAGGGATGCAGAACTCAAAAACGCTGCCCAGAGCAATGCAGCAGCTCTACCAAACTGGTACCAAGCCCACATTTCCTGACTGTTTCACACCTTAGAAATATCTATTATTTCTATTTTCCTACAACAATGTCTGGAGAGCTTGTATTCTAGCTCATTATTTCAATGCATGGAGGAAGTTTCTAGTTAGTGAGATGTGGCCAAGCTGTAGTTGTCGTAACTCATGAGTCACGTTTTAAAGTCCTTTGTCAGGCACAGCAATAGAAATGAAAATTACTTGCTTGACAATGTACATACATGTAACGCAGCGAAACAGATTCATGTTTTCAGAAGAATCCCAAACACTGTGTCTGTTGTCTGGCCAGGCTCCTTTTCAGTTCTAGTGCCAGAGCACGTCTTCAGGCTGGGGGACACCAGAGGGACTTGTGTTCTGAGGGAAAAGGACTGCCAGCACTGGCAACAGCCTCCCCATGGGAGTACTGCTACTGAGTTAAGGCAGGGGCTGTCCCTTAAATAGCAGGTGGGATGATAAGTGTACCTGTTGAGAAACACCTCAGAGGAAGCAAGTCTCATCCAGCTCCCCTCCTGCCACTGCTAAACTATATAATAATAAAAATTATGATTCTCTGCATTACATCATAACATTACAAGAAGGTATAAAGTAGTGAAGCATAAATACAGAGCTTCATTTTGCTTTTTTTATCCTTACATCAAACCTTATCAACTCAAACTTGCTCAAGGGACTAAATTTTTAATTACAGTTACAAACTGCAATTCCAATGCTTGACGATGCTGTGATTATATGAAGTTTCAAAATCTACAGCTGCCTACTTTAACGAGTACAAACTGACTAGAGCAAGTAATCTGAATAGTTTCATAATGCAGATTAAGCAAAGTGCACACATTTTTGTATTGGAATATTTCTGAAACTCAAGTCCTAGTATTTCTTCTAGTTTAACTGTCATTATATATTTTATATATATATACATAAACACACATTTAAATAAAGGGAAACAGAAGAAGGTACTTGAAAAGCAAAGCCCAAAACTTAAATGAAATCCCTCATTATTTCATTGTCTTACCTGTAGCCTGCCTCAGCATTCCTCATCTCAGTCGTTTACCTTCTTTTGCCAGTTCTGCATATAACAAAACCACTGAATAATAAAGCCACTTGCCACAAGGAGTTTGGCACAACCACTCTTTTAAACCAAAGGACCAGAGGGGCCTCTCTGAGCAACATTAAAATACAATCTCTCCAAAGGTCAGTCATAGTATATAAAGTATCCTTCCCCACATGCAGTAGCCTTTTAACTCATTAATAGTGTAATAAAGTAACAAGCAGAAATGTTATGCAGGCACAATGCACTAATGGGTCTCCAAACCCACAAAGACCTACATATATAATTGGTGTAAATGTTGCGCAGCTTGTTCCACTGCAAGAGGGAAGGAGAGCTGAGGGCAGAAGTACATGCAGAATCAGAGCCACTGACACAGCCTGATAAATCATTCTGTCTCTATGTTTAGACATTGCTAGCAGCTGTGTGTCCAAATTATTTCCAGTATTGGAAACTACCTCTGAAACACCCTCTGACACATTAAGATGCAGGCTTCCATACGAAGGCAAATCTCCGCATTGCTTTTGGAAGCGAGCCAACACACTCACTTCTTACTGAAAATGAACTGGCGGAAGCAGGTGACATTGCAAACCAGCTCTATGCATTCACTACTCGTAAATACAAGACAACTAGACATTTACATAGATTTGGCAAAGGCTGGTATTTTACCTACATGCAGTTACCCCAAGCAACAGGGTAATTGCAGGTAGGTAAAATGCAACTGCAGACTTCATGGAAAGAAATGGAATAACAAAAATCTCACTGAGCTCTTCAATTTAAGATATTATTCAAGAGAAAAAAATCATCTTCGCTTTTGAAGAGTACTGGCCAGGTGGGTAAGTCTCTGGCTGTAAATGCAGTACACAGACCCCCACTAGACTCTTGAAGTTAGGGCTACTTTAGTAATGAGGAATGTTAACCCTTACATCGCTTCGGCTGATGTACACAAAACATACACATGCTGTGTGTCTTCTGCAACAACAGGCTACGTGCTGTACTAGTATTATGGCCTATTTGAAATGTCCCTAGATACTTAAGATAGATCTTGAAAAGGACTTAGTGCCAACTTTCACTTTCTTCAAACAATAGTTTTATCCCTTTGGTTACACCCTGTGGTGAAACGCACTGAAACAGATTTGTCATCTGGCACATGTACAGCCGCACAGGGTCCAAATGTGAAACTGGACAGAGAGGGGATAAGATTCAAAGGACTGAAAAGAATGTGCAATGTTGTCTTGGGCAGCCTGTAGAAGAGAAGACTCCAGGGGGACCTTGTAACTGCCTTCCAATACCTGAAAGGAACCTACAGGAAGGCTGGAGAGGGACTTCTCACACGAGTGTCCAGCGATAAGGCAAGGGGAAATGTATTTAAACTGAAAGAGAATAAGTTTAGACTGGATCTTAGGAAGAAATTTGTCAGTATGAGGCTGGCAAGACTCTGCAACAGATTGCCCAGAGAGGCTGAGGCTGCCCCCTCCCTGGAGATCTTCAAGGCCAGGTTGGATGACGCCTTGAGCAACCTCATCTAGTTAAACATATCCCTTCCCATGGCAGGGAGGTTGGATTAGATGATCTTTGAGGTCCTTTCCTAAGACATTCTGTGACGAAGAGCTCAGTGGAGCCAGCAACCATCAGAATGTCTGTTTCGAAATCACACTCTGTAGAGTAATATCAAAAGTTTCTTCTTGCATTGTTTTGGACGATATACACAAGAAAGGCACACAGCAATTAGCTTATGCTCGTGTGGATGGAAACAAAGAGTCTTACGTTTTGAAAAGCTTTCAAAGCAGAAGAGGGAACACTTTGAGTTAGAGATTTCCCATGATCAAAAGGTTTTAAAGAGCATTAAGTTACTCCTGTCTGTACGGTAAGGATTGCTCTTTTCACCTAGGAGACACAGCAGTTCGAGAGGTTTTTGAGGAGACTGGCATCAAGTCCGAGTTCAAGTCCATCCTAAGCGTAAGACAGCAGCATCACCACCCCGGAGCCTTTGGGAAATCAGACATGTACATCATCTGTCGCCTGGAGCCCTCCTCCTTCAACATCAGCTTCTGCCAGCAGGAGTGCCTGAGGTGCGAGTGGATGGACCTTGATGAGCTTGCTAGGACGAAACACGCCACCCCTATCACCAGCAACGTAGCTAAACTCTTACTGTACGGGTACCGGGAAGGCTTTGATAAGATTGACATAACCATGAGGGAGTTTCCTGCTGTCTACACAGGCCTGTTCTACAAACTATACCACAGGGAGCTGCCCGAGTCCTACAGAAACATTACACGATAGCAACACGTTTCACATTTCATTCTATTAATAATTTAGAGTTCTTACGGTAGTGTTACATAGACCATATTAATATTATCCACGGACTTCTTTTTAGGTAATTATTAGAAAGTAATTATTTATTCTCTAATAAGCTATAGAGATATAAATTATTTTAAAAGATAAATACTGCTAGAAGTGTGCATCAGATCTGTCTTCCTTTACTCTTTAAAGCAAACGTAAGGTAAATAAAATAGCTCTATGTAGAGATCTGGCAAACATTTTACCTCCACACACACTGGCACAATAGGTTTAAAGAGCAATATAAAGATGGCGTGAAACATTCATGTTTTAATCTGGCATCTGCAAAAATAGTTAGTATCAGCAAATAGTTGCTTATATTTTTGCTGCTTCGGAGAGGAGCGGGAACCTCGAAGTCTTTAGTGTAGTGTGGCACATGTGCTTGGAATCCGCCATGGGAATCAGCTTTTAGCAGACATGGGAAGAAAAAGGATAGCTTTCTGTCCGGGTCCAGTTTTTGGTCCAGGTTTGTACTGTCCAGTTCTTTTCAGTGCCACGTACCAATCAGAGTATTTCCGTGATCGGTAAGTGTTATAGTTATTAGATTCCAAACGCTCAAAAAAGAAACATTCGTCTGTTGCGCATTTCTAAAAGGGAAATAGAAGAGAATTATTGATATTCCATCAAAGCAGTTCTTCAGATTCACGAGACTACCTTACCAAGAATGTAAGGTAGCAGTACATTTGATTTTAAGAAATTCACATTAAATGTTTCACATTTGAAGAAAAATCCAGTTATTGTGAAAACGTTGTTAAAAACACCTACAAGAAGAGTTGTTAACAATGGTTCATTTATTGTCTTTTAACACAGACCATGGTGTCTTCACTATGTAATTCTCGGTTCTGATCTGAAATTCAAACAATTAAATTAAAGCAGGCATTATATGTTCCAAGACTTGAACCCACAAATTGTCCTGGATTGCTGTTACTGCCTAGGGGATGTAGAACCTGGCTAATTTCACTGTGACTAGTATTTATAGCTGTTCGTTGTCAACTGAGAACAGGAAAGTTTATTCACTGAAATCCACCACCATCAAGAAACCACAAGGCTCCTCTGTATTGAAAACGCAGGAGGACGTACAAACAGCTTCAAGATCTCATTCTACAGGAACAGGATCGCTCTCGGTGTCAACTGCATTTGTCCCACTGCACGTTCACCACCACAGAACCCCTGTCAGTGGACAGCACAGCTCTCGTAGCACTCACAGGGACAAACCTGCCTGCAGAACCTGCGCTTTAAGCAAGAGAAAATTTTTTCTCAAATACAAAGATGGCAGAAGTTCAACCCCGCAGGCACTTACTGGAGAGGGGGGGTACTTGGTTTTCATACAAACCCGCTGTCAGTCCATCAATTCAGTCAGATTCATCTACCCAGAAAATTTTGGCAATGCCGGAGGAGGAGAAAAGTTAGTTATTATTAAAAAGAAAGCATGTAAAATCTTGGAGAGGAGACAGAAAATGTCAAGCAATAGCCTAAACGAGCAAGCTACTCTTTGTGTCAATCTTGTGCTGATATTCCTGAATACATAAAGTACTCAACTAGAACTAAAAAGTGAGCTTGGAACAACTAGACGTCAGACAGTATGCATGAAAACATACAGGAGAAGAGTAACTCCTCATTACGTCAGGGTTCTGTAGCTACAAGTAATGAAGTCCTTCAAACGCAGCCTGGAATAAAGTGCTTTGTCTCCAAACACAGATCTTCAAATAGAAGGGTTTTTTCTCCAACCGTTTTCAGATCTGAATTTTCATTTCTAAGGGAAAGAACTTAGAAAATCCATATGCAATTTCTCATTTCTGCAACTCATTCTTTCACATTTCAAATAGCAGAAATCAAAGTAACAATTTTTCTATCATTTGTATTTTAAATAGTCTTTCTCAAGAGAAATCATATTTTAATGCATTTTATTCCAGCTGTGTGCGAACAAATGCATTAATCATCTCAAGCCACAGAATGCCACAGCACCTGGTTTCTTTTTTTTCTACACACGCGTCCCAGGAAATCCTTGTCAGATGCGGCCACAGAAGGGACAATGGCAGAAACTGAGCCTTGCTTCAGCTCTAGCTAGGAAGGAAATAGCTTTCAGTGCGCTCATGGTGAATTTAAACAGCCGCTAGGAGAGCCCACAAACGGACAAAAGGCGAATCGCACCAGACTCAAGTCCTTATTTCTCCACAAAGCACAGGTGATACCAGTGCTTTCCTACAGGATGTTGCTAGTGTAAATACTTTGATATAGACGTGAATGTTCAGGTCAGAAATGATAGTTCAGACTTCACAAACAATGTATTCCTTAACATCTGCTGTTTCAGACGCTGGACTGCCATCTGGCCTGAGCAGGATGCTGGCCACTGCACTGTGCACCTCAGCCTCTGAGAAAACCCTGGAAATCAGCGGGGTTTTTTAAAGACACTGGTCTAGGCTGCATTCAAAGCAGTGATTTGGCAGCGAAAGCCTTCACAGCACATCATGAAATCCCTGAACTCCACAGGCCTTCATGAAAAGGATAAAAGAAGGAAAAAGTCACAGAGAGCGAGTCCCACTCAGCGCCCACCCTGCCACCAGTCAGTGTTTTATCTGCTGCCAACCAAGACCTCCACCCAGAAGAAGTCTGGGTGTCTAAACCGAGTGCAGGAGTTTTCAGCATGAGCAACGCGGGTTGTAGCCCCGCTTCTACAACAGCACGCTGTGCACCACTGCTTAGAGCAGCCGAACCGTAACCACGGCAAAATCCTCATGGTCATTCACCCCGTGCAGATGAATTAACCAAAGAGGCAGCAGCTGCTGCAACAGAAGTTCTGGCTGCTTTATTTGCACGGCTAAACACCACCCACTGAGTGAATTTTCAGCACAAACTGCATCTGCCTCAGTACCACACAATGCCAGTTAACTAGTTCTGACATTTTGGACTCAGATTAGGAATTAGCATTCCTCAAGTTAGCGCATTCTCAAAACTGAAACCAGGGGGTTAACTTGTAACTACCACAGCGAATCAAGTATGACCCAAGAAAGGTGCTTATCGTATTTAGCCTTTCCTAACTACCAAAAGGACAGAAAATGACACATGATTTTCCAAAATATTCTTGTACCACAGTTTTAATCAGTAACTCATTAAATGAATTTGGAAAGTCAAAGTGAAATATAACAGCCATATCAGAAGAGAAATGTTTCAATTTCTCTGTTAAAAATCTGACGGAATAGATACATTTCTGCACAAATATTTTTAGTTGAACAGCATTTTCCAAGGGGAGGTTTTGACTAGCTGCATTAACAACCAGCCGTTTCCTCTAGTGACTGAACTGGTAAAGATTTCCTCTCCTCCCCAACAGAGTCTGTTATGAACAAGAAAAGTGCTAAACTAAATACGAAACTGCTAAACTAAAAGCCGTATCATCCGGTTTTTAAGACAAGAACACAATCCACTGCACCAGCACTCAAATCTGTAAGCAGTGATACGCTGGCCATGCAACAAATCATTTTGCAAAACCCAACTCAGAACAAACCCTAAAGACATGTCTCAAGAAAGTAATTACAAAGGCATTCAACTAGATGAGAAACAGGACTGAATAATAATTTGTGAAAGTTTTTTTTGAAGATGTCTATATACTTATAAAACGAGGACACTACGCAAATTGATTCTGGACACTGAAAACTAATGAAACAAAACAGATGTTAAAAAAAGACAGAACAGTAGTTGAGTGACTAATGGGTTAGCAGACTAAATAGGTGTTTAGAAATTAAAGTTCCGTAACGTGTAAGAAGAAATAACCAAAAGTTTCGGCAGATATGAATTCATGAGCGCTGATGAGATCACTTCACCACAAAGATTTCCACCACATGCTCTTTGAAAGCTGCCCCTGAAACACAACACTGCTCCACTGAAAAAGAAATGCTAGCAATTAGGAAAAGTTTCATGAATGTGTTTATAGGCAGAAAGCAGTAGAGGCACAATCGGCCACAAACTGTTGGAAGCCATAAGTACAGAAATCCTCATGGAAAAAAATCATTGCCTGTGCTGCAGAAAACGATCACGAAATTGTACAAGTATTCATTAGGCTGGTTGGAAAACAAAATCTTAAGAGTAGAGAGTTTTCACCTATGAATAGCAAAACTGAAGAGCTGTGGGAAGTAGTTTTTGCAGTAAACATGACTCAAGTAATACCCATTTCCAGAAACGAAGCACAACAAAACAAACATTTTATAAGCTTGAGTGAGAAAAGCACAAAGTGACCCAACTTGACCAGTTTTCCAGAGAGTTAATTCCGAGCGAAGGGTAGATCCCTTACAAGCACACCGCCTTACAAGATCTAGGCAGATGCAACTGCTGCATGCAGCTGCAAGGGAAGCCTGTTTGACAGCCCAAGCCCACTGTGCAACACTAGGTTGGAAATCCCAAATATAAACACGAACGAGTGTTTATAATTTTACAAATTATGCTCAACACCCTATTTTGACCATTCACTGCCGCCCAGGGGAAGGAGGGCAATTTGCACAGGAAGCCGAATGCCACTACATTAGCACCACAGGAAATTCCCAATTATCCTTAATTCAAGAATAGCACACTGGGACTACCCCTCACATTTTCTGCAGCTGAGCAGTCACGCAATAACCGAGTAAATAACGTTGTAACGTAAAACAGGTTCTTTAACTGTATTCACAGGCATAAACAAAACGGGTTCCCTGGAGCCAGTGGCACACAGCGCCAAGGAGCACACCAGGCATCCGGGCTCACGTAAAACTGCTGAAGCATTTTGTTTTGCCTTCAGACCAATTTCACTTCGGCAGAGGCCGAACTGAGGGGAATGGGAAGTGATTTCTGCAGCCCTCAGCACGGGTCTTTCATCAGCTGCAGTTCAGCTGGGGTTAGGAATTTTAATTTTGTGATTAACACCTGTTACTGGTGGGGACCTGTGCAGAAGCTGGATGGGGCCATGTTCAAGAACGAAAACATCAGGGATTATTTCCAACTGAAATTCTAGTAGGATGCCCTACAGTGGTACTTTAAGAGTGCTGAAAGTTTGTCTGCACTGAATAAATATGGCTGAGAGATTTACAGTTCTCGTCAGCAAAATTAATGTAACTGCAGTTCTTCAAGCTAAATCTAAGAGTCCTTATTAACTTTCAGAGTCTGCTAATCATATCAGCTCTTTAAAACACAGTTAAA